AGCGCGTCCCACCAGGTTTCCTCTGCCACCCTCCCGTTAAAGGTCGGGTCCGGCGCGGTGCTCCCGGGCACTCCCGTTACTTTTCCCGCTGCCCGTGAAAAGCATCGCCGCTGTGGTTCAGAGCTCCCCGTCCCTTCCTCCTCCCCGTGTCAGTTCTGCTCTGTCGTGGTTTAACCCGGCTGGCAACTCAGCACCACGCAGCTGCTCGCTCACTCCCCCCCTCCCTCAGTGGGATGGGGGAGAGAATTGGAAAAAAACAAAGTAAGACCCGTGGGTTGAGATAGAGGCAGTTTAATAAGAGAGGAGAATAACAATAATAATAATGGTAAGAGAATATGCAGAATATATAAAACAAGTGCACAATGCAATTGCTCACCACCCGCTGACCAATGCCCAGCCTGTCCCGAGCAGCAATCACTCTCTAAGCCGCCGTCACTCTTCCCCCTGACTGACCGACTCACTAACTCCCCCCGAGCATGACATTATATGGTATGGAATAGCTCTTTAGTCAGTTTGGGCCAGCTATCCTGGCTGTGCTGTACTCCCAGCTTGTTATGCACCTGGCCGAGCAGGAGAAGCTCAAAAAGTCCTTGAGTAGTCTGAGCACTACTTAGCAACAACTAAAAACATCAGTGTGTTATCAACATTCTTCTAGTACTAAATCCAAAACACAGCACTATGCCAGCCACTATGAAGAAAATTAACTCTATCCCAGCCAAAACCAGGACACTCTCCAAAGCGGTTCTGCAGATTCTGTGGGCGCTGAGCTCTCGGAGGGGCTGGTCCCAGATGCTTTAGCTTTGTTTCCCAGCACACTCCCCTTTGTGCAGGGAAGGGGGAAGGGCTTCGGTCTGTGCCTGACTCCAGTTCCAGCCTAACACGCTGTTCCGTTTGTTAGGTTGTCTCGAAGGAGGAGCAGCAGTCTCAAAGTGGTACCCTCCATGCAATATTTTCCGCGACTCCGAAACAAAGAAAACCGGGGACTAATCGGGGCTGAGGCCAAAGAAGTCTCCCCACCTCAACGCGTGACAAGATCCCAAGCTGCGATATCTGCTAAAAGCTCAGAGGTCCTTCCTGAGGTTGTTCCTGAGAGCCCTCCTGCCCAGCAAGTGGAAGGGAAGGTTTCCTTAGTAGAAGCCAATGTCAGTGGTCGCGTTAGCACTGAGATTCACCTCTGGAAGAGCACACCCGAACCAGCAGAGAAGCTTTCCACGAGCACCCTCTTGAGTTCAGGTGACGGCTCTCCCAAGGAAAGCAGGGTTACCAAGCTGCCGCCTGTGCCTGCAGCCTCTGAGCTCATGGTCCCTCACACCCCTGAGGCAAACGACGCAGGAGAAAGCGAGGCTGCACCTAAGCTGAAGACAGCCAAGGCAGCCAATACCACCTTCATTTTAAGCGAAGAGTCTAGGCTGGATGAGGGAGATGACTCGACTCAGGTACAGGCGGGGGCTGACAAGGAGCCTTCCCAGCTCATCAGGGATATCCCAGGGACTCCGACAGGCTCTAGACAGAGCCGTCGCTCGGTGCGTAGAAGTCTGATGGGTAAAACTTCCATGACTCGCAGAACCTCCTTAGCAGAGAAATACTCATTAGCCAGCAAGAGGGAAAGTGTGATCCGGAAATCTGTCACCAGGACAATGGTTAAGAGGAAGGCAGCTCAAGGGTCGTCTGTGCCCTCCAGTCACATGGATGGTAAGTTTGAATGTCACCAGATGAGTTTGCCTGGCACTGTTCCTGCTTTTCACTGCTGAGGGAAAACACCGTCATGGGGCTAGGTCTTGGGTTTGGGTGCAGCAGCTGATCTTCTGAGGCTGGACAAGCTGCAGTTGGGTATGGATGTTCTAACTGGCTTTCTAGAGACCTGTGTGCATAGAGAAACGCAGGCGACTGCTAGTTTGTGCCCTGTGCATTCAGCCTCATAAGTCAGCTGGGAGAACAACCTTAAGGTCTTCTGAGTTTCTGCGGTGGTAGCTTGCAAAGGCAAGGAGTAAGCTGGCAAACGGGGTTTGCTGCTGGTGGTGGCTGCTTACAGGGCTACGGGCTCTCACAAAGGCCTGCACGTTCTCTGGGAAGTGAGGTAGCTATCGCAAATTCACTGCCCTCTAAACAGAATCATGGGATCAGTATGTTTTGGGTTGGAAGGGACCCCTGGAGGTCATCTAGCCCAACCCCCCTGCAGTGAGAGAACCTGGCTGCTAGTTCTAGAGCTTCTCTTTTGAGGAGGGAATTTTGAGGCTGAGCTTTGTAAATGTATTAAAAGTCCTTCCAGCTGTTACAGTTTGCAATAGAGGCAGTTTCAGCAAAGGACAAACTGACTGAAATGTCCTTCCCTGCTACTGGAATGCAAGCACGGGGTTTAGTGCAGGAGAACAAAGTGACGGATATTGGCTCTCCTTTTTTCAAGCTGAGGGAAAGAAGCGGCTGGTGAGCGGTAGACTAGTAAATGGCTCCTGAAATGCAGGTGATGCCAGAGAGCCTCTTCCACACAATGTGATGGGCTCTCTTGCATGGCGAACTTTGTTGGAAGGGAGAACTCACCCAGCTGAAATAATGTTGCTGTAATGCATTAATCTGCAGCATTCTAGCTGTGTGGGATTTGTGCTGTACAAAACGGGCTTCTCCTGAAGAGTTATCCCATTTTTCCTGTGGAAGCATTGATTTGGAGAAGCACTTAGGTGGTTTTGTGGTTTTCCATACCAATTTAACTGTTCTGGCTGAATGTTTGTCCACACCAGAGTGCTGCAGTCCCCAGCACGGGGTTGCCTCTGCTGGTAACTGGGTAGCATGGAGTTCCCTGTAGGTTTCTGAGTGCGGTGCTAAGGGCTCCCTCGGCAAAAAATGAAACCACTGGGAAGTCTTCTCACCTGTAATGTTGAAGAGGCACTGATGAGCCTTTATCTGCTGGTTTAGATGATCAGTATTGTGTGGATCTGGGTTACCTGGGAGGTTTAAGGGAGGCTTTGCTTCTTCCCTCTGTGCTACTTGACACGGTTGTTCTTCTGCCTGGCCAAAATTTCTGGCTGTAAGGAGAGGAACTGAGAGGTTTCAGGCAGCTCTGGTTGAGCTTCTTAGTGCTTGAAAGCCCAAAGCACCTTAATTGGCTGCAGAGCATCTCCGATGCGTCAGACCCTGCGCTGGGTCCGTGTACAGCTTGTGTGTCTGTGCTTCGATGCCATCTGCAGCAGACTGCACCCTCGCACGCCCGGACGATGCAAAGCCTGCCCTTGTGTGCTCCACTTGGGCTGAAGTGGTATTGCCTTCTTAATTAACAGCGGTTTCTGGCTGTGCTGGCCCTTAAAGTGAGCTGCCGCTGGGCGGGCGGGGGTGCTCA